TGACCTGAGCCGAAGGCAGAGGCTTTAACCTACTGAGTCACCCAGGCGCCCCATACCGCCCTATTATTCTTGTGTCCCACTCCCAACCACTTGTCTGTTCATTCAGCATTAAATTAGTGCCAAGCATATATTGCCTTGCCCAGTGCTGGGGCCAATATAAGGTCTTACCCATTCCAAGCTGTACAGGTTTGACTTGTTTTTAATATAAACCTCGTATTCGAGTGTACCACACATACAGAAGAGGGCACAGACCACAGGTGATCAGTGTCATGAGTTTTCATAAGCAAACATACGTGTGGAACCAGAACGTAGGTCAAATAACATCCCCAGCCAGATTCCAGGAACACTTAATTCTGTAACATCTCTGAAACCCAGCTGCGTCTCCCAAGCACTGGTGAGTCATAATTTAATTCGCAGTACTTTTTTGTCTCTCCTGGTGATACATACAATAATGGTGCATTTTTTGATCAACGGTGACTCAGGACCGACCGGCAGTAGGAGGAAGAACAGCAACAGCAGTATCTAATATTTGTAGATGCCTCAAGGAGCCAGGCACTTTGCAGACACTTGAACTCTCTCCGCAACCCTGCGAAGTAATGCATTTTTAGTCTCAGTTTAAAGATGGAGAAAACTGAGGCCCGGGAAGGTCAAGCCACTTGTCCACGGTCAATACTTTTCTGCTAACCCCGTGCCTGCTGTAGGCAGTGCTCCTGGGGATTCAGAGGTTGTGTGATAGAAGGTCTTCTCCAGGATAAAGCCTACCCGAGGGGGTCCCAGCACGGTGGATTTCTGGGGTTTCCTAGCAGGGAGTGGGGAGGTGGGTGAGTGATACTGACAGGCCCTTCCTAGACTCAGCTTGCCCCTGGAGACCTGGCCAAAGTGGGGTGGGGAGTAGAGTGGAAGGTGAAGAACGGTGAAAGAATTAAAAGGAAGCCAAGACTCCCTCCTTCTTCAGCTTCTGTTCCTGTGGGGGAATTCTTAAGGAGCAAAGCCAGCTCCCACCTCCCACACCTCCACCCTGGCCCTGCCTCTCCTTTGCTCCCTCCCCTAACCCCCAGCCTGCACCACGGATGGCTCAAAATTCTTCCACTGGTCTTGCAGATGGATGTAGCCTGTCCTCTCAGGATTCCTCCTCACTGTTATCTTTCTCCCCACTCCCCTCCTCCTCCTCTAAAGGCAGGATACCTGAGGGTTTGAATCCACCAGATTTCAGAAATGGAAAGGAGTAGAATCCTCTGCTAAGGCTCTCATGTGCAGAGGCTTCTATCACTCCCTTGGAAATAGCTTTAGACACCAGGGACAGTTTTGAGTTGTTCCTTTTTTGCTGGATCCTAGAAGAGGAGGGGGGACCCAATGGGATCTGAGTTGAAAATCAGTTACATATTGTTACCGCTGTTGTAGAGATGAAGAAACTGAGGCTCAGAGGTGGGGCATCTTGTCTAGGTTCTAGAGTCAGTATGTCCAAGTCTTTGCCTCTTCCATTGCCACTTGGTTTGCGCTGAGAACTGGGCAGAACCAAATTTTAAAATCGAGAGAGGGGTCCTGCCCATCAGGATCCTGGTGTATGAGTTGTGTGCATGGAGAGTAAGTCTGACCACTGAGTATTTTCTTGATCTAATATTGTGTTGATTGGACTTTTTTTAAATAACTAATTAAGTAAATGAATAAATAACTCCCGTTTATTCACCATGTTCAACCTCATACCAAGTTTTCCCCAACTCAGGGCCTTTGCACAGGCTGTTCCTACTACCTGGAATATCCTCCCCCCAAAGATTTACTGGCTGATTCCCCTCTCTTTAGGTTCTGCACAGCTGTCACGGCATCCTGGTGGCTTTCCCTGAATGTTCCATCTGAAGGCCCTTCCCCCTCAGCATATCACAGCACTTGTCACAATCTGTAACTATCTTTCATTTCTATTTGATTCCTGGTTTCATATCTGTCTCCCCCACTAGAATGTTGGTGTCACTAGATTTTCTTCCTGCTGCTTTAGCTCCAGCCCCAAAAGTAGCATCTAGCAACAAATGTTTGTAGAAAGAAAGAAGGGCAGAAAGAAACAAAGAAATAAATGAGGAAACAAATGAGTGAATAAAATAAATGAAATGGGAGAGATGAATAAAAGAGACTTTGGGGATAAAAGACCCCACATTTCCACATTTGGAATATAAACCAACTGAGACTCGGAGAAACAAAAAGACAGTTATTTTATTTTGGTTTCAAAATCCTTAATGTGAGGAGAACCGAGATAGTCTGTATATAAAGGGGCCCTAGCTACTGCTAGTCAGAATTAACTGCATTGGAAGGGTTGGTGGGAAACAAACAGGGCCTGAGAGGCCTGGAGGCCAGGAGTGGGGGCACCAAGCAGCAGCTGCCAGAAGAGAAGGCTCAGAACCGGTGGGGTGGTTGACTCAGTCGTCCCACTCATCGTCCTCATCCTCGTCGCCGGCCTGGTCCTCCCCTTCGTCTGGAGGGAGAGAGAAAGTAGGACTCAGGATGGGCAGAAGGATTCAAAGGCCCAGGGCGGGGCGAAGTTCCTGGGATCTGAGAGGTCAAGACTCAGGGTTCTGGGGGGCTGAGGTCTCCTGGGGGCCCATGCAGCTGAATGAGGGAGGGGCCCCTCAGAGGCGGGAGAGTTAGGGTGTGGGCTGGAGTTGGCATGGAAATTAATCTCATTGTCAAAAACGTGGTTACTTGGGATATCACTGTCACGCAGGGGTTAATGTTCAGTTTGTCACTTAATGGGGTGGATTCAAGTATTATTAGCAGAGGCAGAGTACTTTACAATATTACTGTTTCATAGCAGGCTAATGTTAACGTTACTGACCCATCACGGGTTACCGATGATCTCACTGTAAAAAGATGAGGTTTGTGAAAATAATCGTCATGGAGCAGATTCATACTAATCTTGCAGATGTATCCTGGGGTTAACGTGAATTACTATCGCCAGTAATAGGTTGAGGTTCACATTCCCCTCCTCTAATTGTCCCATAATAGCAATAGTGTTGCCACATCAGGGGACAAATGTCAACGTTATTATAGAAACGTTGGGTTGGTTATGGTATTATCATCACATTATCAGCTTGGGTCCCTCTACTGACACCTGGAGTTCGAGTTAATATTATTGTCCACGGTGGGGTTCCTTAGAACAGCATCACGTATGGGCTAACGGTAACGCTTCCGTGCATCTGGTATTCCTATTAATATTGCAGACATGCTCTGGCCTTTATGTTAATGTCATCATCAAAAAAAGAGTGAATCATAGGATTGTTCCATGATGACAGTGTTAACACTGTCAAAAAAGGAGATTGATAACAGAGTCACAATGGGGTGGCGGTCACCACAGTTGGTAACCGGTGGGGTTGTTTTTCAGCCCACACTGGCCCCAGGGAGCAGGCGTGCCGTCCTGGCAGGGGGCGGGCTGTCACCTGAAGAGTGGATGGCTCGGCTTCTCTTCTGCATCACGTGCATCAGGGCTCCCACCAGCCCCTCTGAGCTCTGAGGCGCGGGCTGCAGTGCTGAGTTCTCGGGGGCCCCAGGCGTCTGCAGCAAGGAAGGTCCAGCACAGAGGGTTCAAGGCCCATGATGGGAGCACTCCTCCCTGCTCCTCCCACGTTATTTCCACTCTCATACACTCCAGTCACTTTCAGGGTTCCCAGCCGGCCTCTCCCCACTGCCCTCCCCACCCTGTCACTGAAACCCCAAAAGCCTGGGACCTCTGTCAGTTTCAGCCTTGCCCCAGATATCCTGACTTGACTGACACCCAAGTCCCAGAACCTCCCAATCCTCCCTTTCACCCGTCTTCACCTTGTTCAGCTGAATTCCCTGGCGGATTTGATCCAAAAGCGCCCCCCGGCCTCCACCAGGGGCCAGGTTCCCCACAGGCCCCAGAGCAGGAGGTGGGGGAGGGACTGGCCCATCCCCAGAGCTGGGGGGTGGGGGCGGTGGGGGTGGAGGTGGAGGCACAGGGGGCCCTCCAGCTCCAGGGGGCGGAGGGGGTGGTGGTCCAGAACGTCCAGTGGCTGGAGGGGGTGGTGGTGGAGGGCCCCCTCGGCCTGGGGGTGGGGGTGCCCGGGGAGTTGGTGGGGGCGGAGCACCTCCCAAAGGTACAGGAGGCAGTGGACCAGAGCGACCCTTGTTGCTCCCCATAGTGGGGGGCCGGGGAGCCTGGTTTCCTCCTCTGGACGGTGGTGGGGGAGGTGGAAGAGGCTCTGAAGGGGGGAAATAACACAGAGGTACTGTTAGTTATCTTCAGAGCCTCAATTCTGCTCATTTGCAACACAGGAACCCCAAGTCACCAACTCCTGATTCAAGCAGTGTAAGGGTTTTCATGAGGACGGAGCGACTGCTGTGTATTTCTTAGGAATAAGCTACTGGGGACGGAGAAGAAGGGAGGTGCTCACCCTGACGCCTCATTTCCTGCCGCACAGCCTCCAGGCCACCCTGGTCCTCAATGAAATCGTAGATGAGTTTGGAGGTTTCAGCATCCGTGAGCTGGGCCTCACTGATGCCTGCCCTGGAGAACAGACTCCGCAGGTCTGGGTCCAGGTTGTTTACCTGCCCAGGAGGAAGAAGGCCAGGGCAGGGGTGGGGGAATAAGGCAGGGAGGGGAGGGGCACCGATTATCACTGGGTCCGTCTACCCCACAGGGGTATCTGAGAGGAATGTAAAAGGGGTAGGTGTCTGGGGTTAGGTCTGAGCCAGTGGACTATGTAAGGGTAGGTGGGTAGTCAAATGGGTCAAGGGGTCTTTGGAATTACTCACGTCAAATCCATTCTGGGGGTCCCACCCCACGTGGCTGACATGTCTGGGGGAGGTGAGGAGATCCCAGTGAAGCCCCATTCCCCTTCCTTCCCTTCCTTCCTAGTGAAGCCCTCTTGCCCTCCCTCCCCCCTCTGAGAGGCCAGAATGAATAGATGAGTCCTAAGTGAATGAATGAGTGACTGAATGAGAACAGTAGTGATGGAATTAGAAGGGGTCCATGGGTTGTAGTGCCCAACTGTCCATCCACCCCTTTTTCTACCATCCATTCACACATCCATTTTTCCACCTAGCCATTTGCATTCACCTGTCAGAACACCGATCTCTCTTATATTTGTCTTCCTACTCATCTGCCCACATACATCTGTTTACTCATTTATCTGCCCACCTGTCTTCACACACACTTGTCCATCTACCCATCCATCTACCCATGTGCCCACCTGTCCATTCATCCACTCTTTTGTCTGCCTGTTCATCCATACACTTCTACTGATCCACTGAACTGTCCATTCATCCATGCATCTGGCCACCTATCCATCCCCATCCACCTTCTCTGTGAACCAACCAGATATCCATCCATCTGTCCACACACTCATCCACTCACCCTCCCACCTCCCATTTACCCATCCACCCATCCATCCAACCACTTACCCATTCATTCCCCAACCAACCAATTCATGCATTCATTCATTCATTCAACATTCATCCAACCATTCATCTACCCATGCACCCATCCACTCACCTATCAGCCCACCCAGGGTGCGACTAAGGTGAAGCAAGTGAGGTGTCTAGGATGCAAAATTTAAGGAGCCCCTCACTCTCAGAGTCATGAATTGCAGTTGCATGACCCTTAGAGTAACTGCCCCTATATATTTTGCAACCTTGGTGCCTTGTTTGCTTCTCCCTAGACCTGGCCTCGCACCCACCCACCTATCCACTCATCTATCTACCCACGCACCCAACCATCTGCCATCCTTCCATCCACCCAGCTCTCTTCCTGTCCATCTTTTCATCAGCCCCCCACCAACAGGGATTGGTAGGACTAGTAGGGAGAGGTTCTCACTTGAATCCACTCGGTGCACCAATATCAGCCTTGCTGATTTTCTTCTTCCCTGAGCGTTTCTTATCAGCTGGGCCAGGCCCAGGCACTGGGAGCCCACGGTATCGTGAACTCGTGATGTCGGGGTTCTGGATGTCCACTGTTACTAGTCCCAGGGACAGTTGGCCAGATGCTGGGCCTGTGGGGAAAATAGGGTGATTGAGCCATTGACCTACTCACCTACCAACCAAAGCATAGGGGCAAGAGATAGGACAAGTGTTGGGGGAATCTGTGTGTGTCTGATGGTCATAGAGGGAGTGGGTGAGGGGTCCAATTAGGGCTTATGGAGAAGTGGATGGGTGGGTTCCACAAACCATTCTTACCTTCACCAATTCATTTCTTTATTCATTCACTCATCTGATCACTTAAGTATTGATTCATTCGTTCATGGCTCATTGACCAATTAATTAAATTATTCATTCAGTCAGTCAGTCATTGCTTTCTTCACCGACTGAAATGTTGTCAGTTATTCATTTATTCACTGTTCAATTCATTCACTTATTTGTTAACTAACATCCATCCATCCATTCATCCATATATCCACATACTCATTCACCTACACATCTGTACATCTATGTTTTCATCTTCCCATCAATTCATCCTCCACTCAACCATCTGTCCACCCACCTTCCACCCACCCTTTTGCCCAGTTATCTCTGCACTCTCCCAACTACTCGTCCATCCACCCACTACACACCCATCTGTCCACCTACTCACCCACCCACCTGTCCACCCAGAGACACAGGGAAGAATCAGCACTCACCCCCTTGGTCTCCACCTGGGTGTGGGGGCAGGGGTGGGAGCCCTCCTCTTCTCTCTGGAAAGATGGAATGGGTAGAGAGCTATTACAACTCTGCTACAGTTTCCTGGGCTACCCCCTTAGTGCCCTCCTTGAACTTGAGGACTCACCTTCATTGGCTGGTGCCGGTGGTGGGGGTAGCTGGCGTCTGTCTGTGGAGACACAGGTGGACTGGGAACCGGAACCATAAGAGGGGCTTTTCTAGCTCCCTACTCTTGCACACACTTCCACCCAACCTCCTTTCCATCCCGAAAGCCTCCTCACCTCCACTTTGCCTCTGATTCCTTTTTTGGATCTTCTCCTGCACCAGGGCCTGGAAGACCTGGGCCTCGCCCTCGTCTGCAAAGTTCAGCCCTGCCTGGCAGGCCTGCACACATCTTGGGCTCAATAGCCTTCCAGGCTCCCCCACCGCCCAGCACCTTTCCCATCTCCTCCCCACATTCCACCTGGGGCCCAGGGGTTGAGGGGTCACTCACATCTCCAGCAAAGGTGTGGAAGAAGGGGGTAGGAGTGGAGTAGACCAGCTGTGAGTACAGCTCTTGTTCCCAGAGCAGCCGGCCAGTCTGGAGAGGTCCGGGGTGAGGGGGGGGAGCACATTAGCACAAAGACTTGCCCTGAGTGACAGGCCTCTGTTATCTGGGCAAGGAGAACGGTGTCCTAATTTGGTGCCCCAGGATCAGATCAGAGACTTCCAGCTTATTGTCAGAGAGTTGGGGGGTCTAGATGTCAGGTGTGGAGGGTTGGGGTATAGTATGGGAGTTAGACATGCAGTCAGGGATGGGGAGTTGGGGTTCAAGGCCCTAGAGGTGGGACTTGGGGGCTTGAATAGGAGGATTTAGGGCTCCAGTCCTAGGAAACTGAGCCCATTCACAGACTTCATCTTACACCCTTCCTTTAGGCAGGGGCCTTCATTTGGGCAAGTAGGGCTCCAGTACTAGGAGCTGGTGTTCAGATTTGAGGTTCAGACACACAGACCTGAAAGTTCTGGGGGTGGGGGATTCAGTCAAGGTACATGCAATCTGACATTTAAGAAGCAGAGCTATGGCTTAGTAGCTAGGCAAACATTTAGGGTCCAGAAATTTTGATGGGGGATTTCTGGGACCCAAAAGCTTGAGTTTAGAACAGATTTGAGGTTCAGGTAAAAGTATAGTGCTCATTTTTTTAAATTCATAAAACAGATTAGATTTGGGAGCTATATTAATAGTTGGGGGTTATAGGTCTTGACCTGGGGATTCTGGGGGTCAATCATCAAAGACAAAGAAAGCCAAAGCAGAGTTTGACATCTGGATGAAGTCTTTGGTTCTGGGGCTTAGGGGTTCACTGATCTGTCCAAGGCCTTGGGGCTTTGGACACCGATCTGGATTTGCGAGTTGGAAACTGGTTTGCACATCCAGCAGGGGGGATGGGGGTCACCTGAAGGCCATAAAGACGGATGAAGTAGGACTTCTGGGGGTTATCCTTCACGAAGCACACAGCCCCACAATGCTCCTTGGTCCAGTGTTCAGCTCCAGGAGGCAATGCCAGGTACAGTTGAACAACGGCAGTGGCCAGTGTCTGGGAGGGAAGAGCAGGGCTCAGGGGAATCTGGTTAGCCAGAAGGTCTAGTTCTTCCTTGTCCACGGCTGTCCTGGCTCTCAGGGAAGAGCCGCAGCCGGAGGGAAAGTAGATAGGCATCGCAACCGAGATCTTCCTGGGATTGGTGAATGGGGGTAAGTGGGTTTTAGGAGAGGAGATGATGGAGAAGGGAAGAAGACTGGAAGAGGGAAAGAAAGTGGAGGAAAGGAGAAGGATGGGGAAGATGAGGAGGCAGAAGAGGAGGAGAGGAAGAGGAGGAAAGGGAGGGAGACGGGGAGGGCCAGGAGATCCCCAGCTCACCCAGCATTTCCGACCCAGCATCTCGAAGAGTCGCTGGTTCTCGTGGTCCTGGAGCAGTGTGGAGGGTATGTTCTGCTGAACCCCTGGTCCTCCGCGACCCCCAGACCTGCCTCCCACAGGGCCCCCACTCATGGTGCCTCCTGCCCTTGTCCTCTTCAGCCAGGCTCTGGGTGCAGGGTAAGAAGAGGAACTTCCGCAGTGCGCAGGGGAACAGGAAGTACAAAAAACCACAAGGGAAACAAGTCCTCCAGGGGCCTCTGGGTGGGCCTGGCCTCCTCCTCCCTCCCTAGGACAGGCTCGGACCCTCCTCCCTTAGAAAGGGGCCCTCCTCCATTTGGCTGGTTAAGACCCATCTTTTGGGCCAGCTCATGTCCTCCTCCTTCTTTCTTACTCCCTGAGGCCCATTTCCCTCTGACTGGCTCATGTCCTCCTTCCTCTGATTGGCTGGGAACAAAGGCCAGGCCACTGCTGCACTTCTGCTGGAGGACACTATGGTGGGGAGCAGTTGGGGGGCTGGGCAGCCTCCTTCCTCCCCAAAGCATCCAGCTGGTCTGGGCCTGAGGCCCACGGCCCCTCATGCAGAAGGGTTACTGGGTTAAAACTTTTCCTCTAATGACATTGTGAGGGGCTGGGATCCCACCCCTCTCCTGAGACCCCCAGCAATGCTTGGGCACCCAGCTCACTTCCCCATCCTTTACCTCTGCCTCCCCGCAGTTCCCAAATCACTTTCTACTTCTCATCCCTTCAGGCAACGTCTTATTTAATCCTAATTGATTTTGAACCTTTTAAAGTCTGGATTCTTGGGGCACCTGGGTGGCTCAGTGGGTTAGAGCCTCTGCCTTCGGCTCAGGTCATGATCTCGGGGTCCTGGGATCGAGCCCCGCATCGGGCTCTCTGCTCAGCGGGGAGCCTGCATCCTCCTCTTTCTCTGCCTGTCTCTCTGCCTGCTTGTGATCTCTGTCTGTCAAATAAATAAATTAAAAAAAAAAAGTCTGGATTCTTGGGGTACCTGGGTGGCTCAGTTGGTTAAGCAGTGGCCTTCAGCTCAGGTCAGGATCCCAGGGTCCCGGGATCGAGCCCCATATCCAGGGAGCCTGCTTCTTCCCCTCGCCCTGATTGTGCTCTCTCTGTGTGTGACAAATAAATAGATTTTTTCTTAAATATTTTATTTATTTATTTGACAGACAGAGATCACAAGTAGGCAGAGAGGCAGGCAGAGAGAGAGAGAGGAAGGGAAGCAGGCTCCCCACTGAGCAGAGAGCCCGATGCGGGGCTCGATCCCAGGACCCTGGGATCATGACCCGAGCCGAAGGCAGAGGCTTTAACCCACTGAGCCACCCAGGCGCCCGTAAATAAATAAATTCTTTTTTTTTTTTTTTGTTAATTTATTTGACAGACAGAAATCACAAGTAGGCAGAGAGACAGGCAGAGAGAGAGGAAGAGAAGCAGGCTCCTGGCCAAGCAGAGAGCCCGATGCGGGGCTCGATTCCAGGACCCTGGGATCATGACCCAAGCCGAAGGCAGAGGCTTCAACCCACTGAGCCACCCAGGCGCCCGTAAATAAATAAATTCTTAAAAAATAAAATAAAAGTCTGGAATCGTCAGAGTCTTGCTTTCCCCACCCCCACACAACATCCTACGTTTATCCAACACTGATGGAAGCCACTGAACATATGTCCCAGACAGTGTTCTGACCTCTGTAAATACTGACCCCCCTAAATCCTCCTAACAGCCTACGGGACATACACCCTTCCTGGGTCCATTTGCTAGTGGGAAATGAGAGAACTGAGGCCGCTGATTTTCCCAGTAGCTCCTAGCTAGCAAGTGGCAGAGTCTGGATCCCAAGCCAGGCCGGCTGGGTCCAGAGTGCACACTTTCCATCACTGTACTCCATGCCTTCTCTCTGATCTGTACCTGCCTGTAACAATGACCGTTCCTTTTCACTGCTACACAGGATTCCATTGTTTGTACAATTTGTTTATTTGTATTGTCCTGATAACAAGTGTTTGGGCTATTCCTGGCTTTTGCTCCCTTACACATCTCCTGGTCTGCACGGGCAGGCATACACTCGAGAGGGGAATCGGGGGGTGGGGGTAGGTTTGTAGGGTTTGCCTATCTCCAACTTGACCAGATGATGCCAGACTGTTCCCCCAACTGTTCCCTCAGTACTCCCTGTGCCTCGGTTTACCGTTTGCGGACAAGAAGCTCCCAGCCACATACAGCAGTCTGAGGGAGCTGAGCAAGTCTGGGGTGCGACTGCCATCCCCAGGTACCTGAAGGCAAATGGCACTTCTCAAGATGGGACCCACGGTTCTGCCCAGAAACCTGGCTCAAAGCTCCTTCCAGAGTGGCAATTCCAACTTCCCTCCCTCCCCTCCTCACAACTCACCTTCCGGTACCCACAACTCACCAGGCAATTTCGTACCTCTGGGCCCGGAGCGCCTTCCAGCCTGTTCGTGGGGCAAGGCCCTGCTTTCTTCCTTAAAAAGCTATCACATTCATTCATTTTCATACTGTTTGTTGTTCTCCTGCCAGGTGCCAAGCCTATCTCCGATATCTGGCACAAACTAGACATTCAATAAACGTTTACTGAAGGAATCAATCAATGAGGGATTAGTGATTTAGTGTTTTCTGAGCTTTTTCTAAGTACCTTACATTTATTAACTCGTTTCACCCTCACAGATGACCGCATGAGGTAAACGCTACTCTTATCCCCATTTTACTAATAGGGAAGCTGGGCCTCCAGGGAAGTTAGCTAACTTGCCCAAGATCACCAAGCTTGTGAATGGTGGAGTAGAGGCCAAATACATGAAAAATGATTCCTAATCTGTCAAGGGCCACATCGGGGCAGACAGAAAATTCTTCTGCTCCTTCTCTGTCTTTCCTTATCCCTCTTCCTCCTTTTTCTTTCTCTGCCCCTAGATCTGTCTCCCTTAAGTTTATAGCGGTGGGAGGGGCTTAAGCCTCTGCTACATTTGCTGGTTGTTTTTTTTTTGTTTTGTTTTGTTTTAGATTATTTATTTATTTATTTGACAGAGAGATCACAAGTAGACAGAGAGGCAGTCAGAGAGAGAGAGGGAAGCAGGCTCCCTGCTGAGCAGAGAGCCGGATGCGGGGCTCGATCCCAGGATCATGACCTGAGCTGAAGACAGAGGCTTTAACCCACTGAGCCACCCAGGCGCCCCTGCTGGTTGTTTTTTAAGTTAACATTTCAAAGTTATATATTTTGGCACATTCTGTTGAGTGTCCGACTCTTGGTTTCAACTCAGGTCATGATCTCGGGGTCGTGGGATCAAGCTCCCTATGGGGCTCCATGCTCAGCTCGAGGTTTACTTAAGTTTCTCTCTCTCTCTCTGCCTCTCTTTCTCTCTCAAATGAATGAATAAATAAATAATAAATCTTTTTTTTAAAAAAAACTTTTAAAGATATTTATTTATTTAACAGCGAGAGAGCACAAGCAGGGGGAGAAACAGGCAGAGGGAGAAGCAGGTTCCCATGGGGCGCCTGGGTGGCTCAGTGGGTTAAAGCCTCTGCCTTTGGCTCAGGTCATGATCCCAGAGTCCTGGGATTGAGCTCTCTGCTCAGCAGAGAGCCTGCTTCCCTTCCTCTCTCTGCCTGCCTCTCTGCCTGCCTCTCTGCCTACCTCTGCCTACAGATCTCTGTCAAATAAATAAAATAAAAATCTTAAAAAAAAAAAAAAAAGAAGCAGACTCCCAAAACCCAATGTGGGACTCAATCCCAGGACAGCTGGGTCCCGACCTGAGCCAAAGACAGACGCTTAATGGACTAAGCCACCCAGATGCCCATCAATAAATCTTTTTTTAAAAAAGTTATGTATTTCCTGTTCTTCTAAGTAGCAGACAGTTTAAAATGTATACTTTTCTCTAACTAAAAAAACTAGAGTTTTGTTATTTTGGTCCCTAACAGGAATGAGTCGCCCCACCCTGGAATATAGTGCTTTAGTAATCCTTTTTCATATTACCCAGATTATTGAATTACTTTGCAGACCTGTATCAAGAATCAGGAGCTGGCTTATGTCACTTTTACATATCCCCATCGATTCTTGCTTTTCTGCACTGCATGACAGCCTTTGGTGACGTGAGGACCTCAAAGTTAATTTGCTCTCCAGGGCCTTCAAAGAGATTTAAAAAAAAGAACAAGAACCTTAATTTAGCTTTTATGGTTCTCAGCAGGAGATTAGGTTGAATATGAGTCAGTCTGCCACAGCAGGGAGCAGCAGTTCGAGCTCACTTCTTAGTAAGCCAGTGAATACCCAGAAAGCCCAGCCCCAAGAACCAGGATCTACTCTGTAACTCAGACCATCCTGATGTGCCTCCACCACCTCCTCCTCCCCCCCCCCCCCGGCACCCCCCTACCCTAGGTTCACCAGATGGAAAGCCATTTCCTGTTTATATCCTGTGCTTATTTTGCTTTATTCCAAGAGGATATTGCCTACAAGATCCTGCCTGACACATCTCAAGCCCTGAGTAGGAAATAAGACACAGTCAGTACTAAGACATGGGGCTGTCTTCCACACTTTGGTCCTAGCACACGACTGAGGCCACGGAGATGTGGGCACACCTAGGATCCTCCTGCTGTCCTCTAGGACCAAGCTGAGGACAAGATGGCTACATTTCCTTTGCCACACCATCCTTCCCCTCCCCTTACCACACTCCCCCACCTCCCGTGGACCCCTGACTGAGGGGTGCTCCCTAAGGACAGGCTGAAGGAACCAGCAGTGCCCAAACCCCTGACCCAACCCTTTGACCATCCTGGAATGACATTCAGGTACATTACAAGTATTGATGATGTGGGGCTGTCCCCCAGCATCCTAGGCCCTTGCCCATTCAAAGGCAGAGCACCCCCATCACCATGACAACCAAAATCTGCCGGCCAGGAATTCCCCAAACACACTCCAGGCCAGGAAGGAACGTGACCCTTGTTTGTCTCGTTCATTGCCATATGCCAACCACCCCGGCACAAGACCTACATGCAGATCAATCAGTATTTGTGGAATAATCATCCTACAGCCCAGCTATCTGTGCTGCGATTTACTGTCCTCTCTTCATCCCCCCCTCCTGCCTGCAGGAAGGGGGAAGAGAAGAACTCGGACACTGAAGAGGCCAGCCTCTCACATGGAGATGTCTAAAACGTTCATGGTTGCTATGGGCAAGTGGGTGCCTTTTTAGGGGTGC